TACTTGTGTGTTTTATTTTATGTATCATTATGTTTTAGAGTCAATTTTTATACGTACTTACCCATGACTTAATCCTCTATTTCTAGATATACGATACAATTTATTTCCTTAAAATTTTAAAGATAAAATTTGGAAATGTACAGATAGTTAAAATTATTCACTGTTCACTAAATGGAGTTTTTTATATGTCGACAAACAATACACCTATAGCTTATAGGCTATAGGTACTGTGTACAGCATATACAGCGTGATTAATTTTAGTGGGTACACTAATTATCTCGAAAAGTTTTGTTTTTTTATTTTTACAAGAAATAAACAATTTGTATCATTGATTATAATTGACATAATAAGAATACCCATTAGATAAAATTTGATAGGTCATGAGATTTTAATGAAAGGAGTCACCCATTGTTGACAGTATGTCAGTATGACACTTTCTGTTAGCTTGAAAATAAATTTCATTTAAGAGATCACGACACATAGGCGCAACTAGGGGGGTGCTTCAGTACACCTCAGAGCCGTGCCGTGGGGGGTCTAGGGGGCATACGCCCCGCCCCCGGGCGCATGGTTTAAAGGGGCGCCAAAAAAATATTTTAGAATATTTTAAACTGTACATAAATAAAATACATGAGAAAGATTATTGTTTTACAATTATTTTGAACCATTAAAAATTATTTCTGAACAAATTTCCGACTATGGTTGAGTAATAACAATTAGTCAACCGCAACGTTCTATTCTTGTATTATTCGGCTTTATAATAAAATATAAATTKTAGTACCTACTACCTACCTATTCTTTATCTAATAAATATTCTTTATGAGCGGAGAAAAATCATCGGATGAAGATATTTCTGCAGATCAATTTTTAACATTGGAATACTACAAAGTTCTTGATAATATGATGGCTCAAATGAAATGGAGGTTTGAAAAATTATCAAATATTAATATTGCTAATGATTTTCAATTTCTTTCTGGTCATTCACTATCTGTAACACCAGTTGAAACATTGAAAAACTATGCAGCTGATTTAGCAATCAAGTACAACGAAGATATTGACCCAGAAATAATTAACGAAATCGAATTTTTTAAATACCAAGCAAAAGCAATTATACCAAAGTTACAAAATKCAACTACTTTAAATATATTAAATGCAATTAAAAAATATGAACTTGATTCAACTTGTCCAAATTTAATGATTGTACCTATATATATTGTTTCTTACCATGCCTGTTACCGTCGCTTCCGGGGAACGTTCTTTTAGTAAACTTAAATTAACTAAGACGTATTTACGATCAACCATGTGTCGCAAGAGAGATTAACCAATTCAGCAATATTGTCAATTGTGAATGAAATAACAAAAAACATCGATTTTGAAGACGTCATTGAAGATTTTGCTTCAAAAAAGTCTAGAAAAATTAAGTTTTGAACTAAGTCTCTTTTATAGGAACCCYGTATATAATATATATTATAAATACGTTGACTATCATACAAAATAATATTGTATTTTTATATTACATAATATGATAAATTTGTGACTTATATTAATGTTTTATTCATATTATTATACCTAACTATTTTGTTTAATAATTACTATTGCAATCAGTTTTAGTTTTTTGTCAAATCAATGTTGAAAATACGTCGTAAAAAAAAAATTCAATTTAACAGAAATAAAATGCATAATAATAAATAAATTATAGGGGGCGAATATTTTTAATTTTGTGCCGGGCGCTAAATCTTAACGG